AATACTTATACAAAATAATACGACCGCTTTTTACAAAGTTTTTTTTGGAATTATTTCAATAACAAATAATTTATTCACTAAAGATATTTAAAATAAAAAAAAAATGGATAAGAAAATCAGGATGTGTTTACTGTTGTTAGTTTAAATCTAAATTTTTTAGTATACACTTATAAGTATGAACAAAATATTATTCAGAAATTTTTCAGAATGTACTTAAACTTATAGCTGAATTTAATAAGATTGTACTTATGCTATAACTTAATTCTTAAAGTAAACACTTATTTTTTATTCACACTGCCCAATGAATATAATATTTTTTCGCACGACTTTTTGGACAACAATTATTGTTGTCTTTTTTGAAGATATCCAAGTAATAAGTAATGTATTTCATCGCTGTCAATCACTGTATATAAATACCCATTTTTTTATATGTTCTGGGGTAAAACATAGACATAATACAGTGAATATTATCAAGTCACACAATAATCCTTCTCATCTAAGAAATTAATATTTCCAATAGCTAAAACAAAAACAAGATACTGGATTTATATTTATCTAATTTTTTCCACAAGATGTTATCTAATTTAATTCCCTAAACATTAAATTATTGCATTTTTTTGTTCTGTTGTAGATGTCAAAAACGATTTAAATTTATTTGTACAGGGTGTGTCAAAATAAAGTACCGTAACCAAAAAACTTGTAGATCTTAACTGATTAATAAGAAAAGCTAAATATAATTTTCCTGTAAACGTACCAGTTTTTATTCTAAATATCTTTCCTTACGATAAAGAAAATATGTATATATGTTAGTCAACTGTCATTATTAGTTGACACACCTTATTTCGATAAATTAAGAAAATCTATTGGTGTAGAATCAACGGTTACGAAAACAATTTTCATCCAAACTTTTTGAACACCCTATATTTCATAAAAGTTAAGAATAATAATTATTACTCACGTAATTTGTCACCAAAAATTGGCTGCTGGTTGATCTCTGTGGAACATTCCAATTCCGAGATTTTTTAGTTTTATTCCTACTCAAACATGAAATCTATGTACAATTTTATTAAGGGCCGATTTCATAATGAATATTAAAATGTCTAATAGGATCAGAATTTTATGGACCTAATGGTCCCATCAGTTAATGGACTTTCTTATATTGAAAATAAATTTGACTCTTAATAAAAATTGCATTTTTTTATTAAATAATGTAGGGTACCAGTTTGAAAATTAACCAGAACAAAATAATATTGTTTTTTCATTTATATATCAGTAGTTTAAAATCTAAGCTATAGGGTTTATTTGTTATCATCTTTTAAAACGTCGAATACATAAATTGTAACTTTATTCTATTTACGGCAACTCAGTTCCTAATGTGAACTTTGTAAAACCCATTTATCGCCACTTTACTTATTTCATCTAAAAAGCATCAAATATATCTAAATTTGAAATTAAAGAACTGTTTTGACAGTTTTCATTCGTATAATAATAATAATAATAGAATAACATTTGTTTAAAAGTATGGTATTTTGTTTTTTGTTAAGTGTGTAGGTTGAATGTTCTCCATACTATCAATTCAATCATAGGTATTTTTATAACCATTTCCAATAATTTCCATAACCTTCCATTTCAATAACTAGTACTTGATTCTTCTTTTCATCTGTAATTATTTCTGGTAAAAAATGTTTTCTCATATTTTACACATACATATTTAGAACTATTGAACTCATGTGACCAATTGTTACGGGTTGAAAGTAATTTAAATTTAAAAGTACATTTATTTAATTTTTGTTATTACTACCATAACCTATTACAATAATGCAGTCTTTTGAGATTCTTCTTCATTTTCGCTTCTTCTTTTTCCATCAAGCCTCATCCTAAAGTAAAGGTCAATATCTACTTTCCTATTGGTCATGAATTACTCCATTTTATCGTAAAATTGCCTGTCTCTTTTTAACACCTCTTTCTCTTTTGGCTACTGAATTGGAACATGTGCTTCCCTATTTCTCGATGAATTTTCGGATTAAATTAGCCCTAAAAGAAAGATTACTTCATTAGTTTTGATAAAAGTATTAAGCAGAGTTGCTAACACACTTAGTGGATAAAACACATTTTTTTTATAAAACTAATCTACTTCTAAGCCACTCACCACACATGGCTTTTCTGTACAGGTAATACTCATTCTTAAGGTAACCTGTGAATTTATTTGGAGTACTTTACTGCTTAGTAGTTTCTTGCTTTGCTTCTTAGCTCCCTGCATGGCTTCTGACCTTTCTGCTTAGCCTTATAGCCAAATAGCTTGCCTCCCAATATACCTGCTGAGCTTGGGATTGTCAGAAAATACCTGAAACCTCTTTAATAGCAAGACAAAAATTGGTAATAAAGAAAACTACTTCTAGAAATGCTACTGGGCACAATCTTAATAAAAGTAAGAACTTTCCATTGTTTAAATTATTGTCGCCAAGGGGATACGTATTATGAAACATACGCAGAATCAGGAAACAGAAAATATATGAAAGAAAACGTCAAAATATTATATTGTTTTAAATAAAATTTTACTTACCCTATGTAAACGATTAGTACTAATCGGGCTTCAAAAAATAAGTTATACAATTCATTATTTACTCTTATATCTTCTTCGGATCCTGGCAATAAATAAACAAATTAAAATTACTTTTATATTTACCTAAAAATACAACATTCTGCCAATATTTGTCGAATATTATAAACCCACCAGTCCTTGTTTTCTCCTAGAGGAATGGAAATAACATAATATTAAAAGAAGTTTGTAATTCGCCTTTTTCAGAAAAATTTTTTTAGGATCAATTTCTTTCTTTCTTTTTTATTTTTGTTAAGGAGGTCCTTTCGCCATCCCTTTCGATTATGACTAAAATTTATTTTTTTTTTTTCTAATAGTTGAAGTCGTTATTTATCTAATGTTGAACTTTTAACTATACCTTACCGTGCAAATTTTTGAGAATTTTTTTTTTAAATGTGAGTATTTGTACAGTGTCTTACGAGAAAATAAGACCTCAACAACAATTCTCTAATTATATTATTATTTATTGATTAGATGGAATAGAAAAAAACTAAAAATAGGGTTTTTGAAATATTTAGGTTTTGTTTTTTACAATAAAATATATAGGTTACCTTGGAATTTATTGAGAAATCAATATTAAAAAAAAAATTTGAAGTAACCTAGTTGAAAATTTTTTGTGATTTTTTAATATTAATTTCTCAATAAATTCCACGGTAACCTATATATTTTATTGTAAAAAACAAAACCTAAATATTTCAGAAACCTTATTTTTAGTTTTTTTCTACTCCATCTAATCAATAAATAATAGTAAAATTAATTATAATTCGAAAATTGTTGTTGAAGTCTTACTTTCTCGTAAGACACTGTACAAACACACACATTTTTAAAAATTTTTTTTCCCAAAAATTTGCACGGTAAGGTATAGTTAAAAATTCACTATTAGATAAATAAGGACTTCTACTATTAGAAAATAAAGTTTTCTCTTGTCTTTTGTCAATTTGTTATTCGCCAGTTATGTCGCAACTAGATGAAATATTACACTGGAAGACCACTTTCAACCAATGTCCTCCTTTTGGACTTTTTTGCTAGATTTCTCAATTGAAAAATAAATACCTTCTCAGTATACTGATAAACCCCTTTAAACTGTGGTTATCTATCAACAGCTTCTAAAAAGTTCCCTAAAACTGGACTTTTTTCTCTGTCTGATGTTTCTGGAATCGCCTAAAATTTCTATACGGTGCTCCACAGCACTTATGCCTTATGAGGCCCAATTTACATCCTCCAGAAGCATACAGAATCTGCCTCTCAGCTTGTCAGAACCTGCTGGTTGCCGCTGAGAAGTGCCTCAAGACAGCCATTTTCCCAACTCATCAAAGTCATGTAGGTTATCAACTCATCAAAAACCTACTGGCTGTCGATGTGGGGGTGTCTATAGACAGCCATCTTCTCAGTTCGTCAAAGTCTCGCAGGTTATTAACCCATCAGAAACCTGGTTGTCGCTGGGGGGTGTCTAGGGATAGCCAGTCTCTCAGGTGAAAGTCCTGCAGGTTATTTACGTCGCCGGCAGGTGTTATTTTTGGACAGTGGCCTACCACCACAGTGAGCTTCTCCCATCCCGATGGTTATTTCGGTGAAGTCATTTTATCCGCCTGCTCCACAGGGCAAGAATAAATATATTATCTCCATTAGTGGCCAGTCAATTTATCATATGTCCAAAATAGGATCATAAGTGTTCTGTAGTGGACACCACTCAGCCGTTAGATGACCAAACATAGATCATAGATGGGGTTCTTAAAGTAGCTATCACATGGCAACAAATGGTATAAATGCAATATTTGTTGTTTCGTTCCTAGCCTCTCAGTTTAACGTTTGTTCCATAAGCGTATAACATAAAAATGTTGTGTATTTAATTATTTATTTTAAGTGTTAAATATAACTTAAATAAAAATACCTAGTTTTTTTGTAAAAAAACACTGAACATGAACTTGTCAAATTTCATTAAAATATTAACTGGTACATCAGTCAACAATGCTATTCGTACCATAGTAGTGTGAAGTCGTCGACGTTGTAAGTCTGTTATTTGGTGCTCGTACCCAACATAGATTTCATGTTTGAGTAGGACTCAACTTTTATTAAATAAAAAAAATTGTATTCTCAGCCCTTGATTCTACGCCAATGGCTTACTGTAATTTGTCAAAATATAGTGTGTTAACTAATAATGATGTTTAACCAACATATACATATTTTTAAGTCTTTATATTTATAAAATTATGCATTTATTTAATTCACTATATCACCCTGTGCAATGAAAATTGGAACGTTAAAAGGAAAATTATATTTAGCTGTTCTTAATAATTAGTTAAGATCTACAAATTTCCCAAAAAATGGTCTTTATTCTGAAACACTCTGTATATTAGATAAACCAAAATAAAACAAACTTTATAGAACACATATATTCCAGATTACGTTTAAGTTCCTACCATCTTATGACGCCAAAGATTTTTTAGACCACAAACCAAAAAACGTTGATACAAGTAGTTTAAAAGTATTTATAACTGGAGCATGTGCTGTCTCGCAGAAATTAATGAAAAGTCTGATAGAAGCTCTACCTCAAACTAGAATTATTCAAAATTATGGTATCACTGAAACATTAATTTTCACTTCGTTTAATCCAATGAGTGATGAGGAATATAAAATACAACTTTTAAAACCAACGTCTTGTGGCAAAGTTGTTTCTAATTTTAAGTGGAAGGTTAGTCCAACTTTTTTAATCATTTGGTTTTTTAAAACTATATTAGTTATTAAACAAGACCTGAAAAAAGTTAACCCAATCTGCATTAAAATTCTTAAAAATATATGTTTTAGGTTGTAGATATTAACACCGAAAAACTTCTTGGTCCAAACGAAAAAGGTGAAATCAGAGTCAAAAGTAAATATATGATGACAGGATACTACAAAATGGATTATTCGGCTGCCTTCGACATAGATGGATATTTCAAAACTGGAGATTTAGCTTATTATGATGAAGATGAGTGTTTTTACATTGTTGGTAGAATAAAAGAAATATTTAAATACAGGGGATGGCACATTATTCCTACAATAATCGAAGAAGTACTAACATCGCACCCTGCAGTAAAAGAAGCTGCAGTAGTTGGAGTACCACATGAAATTGATGTAGCTCATCCAATGGGAATTGTAGTACTAAATAAGGGATATGATCATATAAAAACAGCTACTATTGTTAATTTTGTTAATGAGAGAGTTTCTGAAATCCAGAAGTTAAGGGCTGGTGTTATGATTGTGAACAATATTCCAAAAACTACAACTGGAAAAATAAATGCTCGGTTATTACACGAGATTGTTTCTAATAATTTTATCCAGTAATATTATTTAATAATAATCTCAGTAAAATAATTACAATCGAAAAGTGGGGTAAATATAATAATTATTTTTTTAAATGTAAAATAAGTAAAATTTGTCAGAAACTACCTCTTTAATAGAAACCTTACTTAAGGCGCATTATACTTGTTTTTTCATGAGATCTTGAGGTATACTATTTTCACATTACAGCTTAGCCATTAAAAATGTTTTTTGCATCCGAACTTTGTGAATACTTGTCTTGTCTTATTTATAATGAATAAGTAGACTATAAGTGATTTATAACAGTGAGATGAGGTAGGTAGGTAAAGGCACCAAACCTAGGATTAGGTTTAAAATTAATACGACTCTTGCCACCTGTTGCGTCGTTGTAGACGAATTTATAAATAATTTATAGGATATGTAGTATTAATTATGTTATACCTAAAAAAGGGATTAACTTAGGTTCGGTGCATTTATTTACCTACATTTTATTGTATTTGGTTTACTACACGACTCAAATGTTTAATTTTTAATAAAATATTTTCAATTTTAACAAACTGAAGTATTCATTCCACTTTCGTCTATATTATTTTTAATTGTATCAGTTTATTTAAACAAAAAGCGTTGATTCTTATCCTCACACAACCACCAGCTATGAGTACGCACCTGCAGATATCGTAAGAGATTCGAACGGAGCATGTCTTTTTTTGCTGGTAAAGCAGAAACTGTTCCAATGTAACCTATCAAATGCACTAGGGAAACTGCCTAAAACTGAACTTTAAAAAGAAAAATGTATCAACAAAAAGTTGTCTACTACGGTTACATGTATTTTGGTTGTTTCGGTGTCAAACTTCGTGCCCTCGACGTCGCTCAGATGGTAGAGGAGGTGAATAGTTTATAAAAATTTCGAAAATATACAAATTGAAAGGCGCCAACTGAGGTCATAAAATGACCAAACTATGATCTTATGTCTCCCACAAATCCAGTAAATGAGGAAATAAATAAAATACAAATCCGAGTACAAATCTTAAACTTATGTTCCCATATAATTAATTTACCCCAAAATATATCCAAAGATTAACAATTTTAAATTATTAGGAAAGAAACTAATTATATATATGTAAGAATTTCAAATTCGTTAGCGTTGGAACGATGGTATTTAGTCGAAACATATGGACCAAAAGTAGTACCTGCCTCTTGACGGAGTGACGGCATTAAAGAATCTTATTTATTAGCCATAAGAGTCATATTTGTTATTTTAGAATTATGTATTAAGTTCCTAGGGCAATCTGGCCTGAGAAATAAGAGGACACTTATAGTTCGACTGTCTCAACGGAATGTCGATTTCACTTGTTTTGTATTTAATTTTGGAAATCGATTAATTTGGTGAAAATATCGTGTTTTCTTGTGTTGTGTATTGTGTGAGAGATATGGCTTAGGACGGTGTCCATTTGCTATAGAATGTTTAAGTAATAGAAACGGAATACAGGAAAGGAAAGAAATAAGAGAAGTAGTGTCTCAAGTATCTAGCTTAGTATCGCGTAAAAGTTTAATTAAAATATGAAGGATATTTTTTTCGGTGCTTGTCAGAAGCTCCGAGCAATTACTACTAGAGGGAGCCTTCCCCCCTTCCCCGCGCTAAATTTTGTTAGCAACATCTACTCCCCCCGAGGGGGAAAATACCTCTTCTGTAATTGGCTTATTTAATCAGCGTTGCCAAGTTTGACAGCGCCAGAAGTGTTCTGTGAGCGCCAGTTCTGACACTTTCTGACACATGTCAATTTCTTATTTGTATTTTACGGAAAATATTATTATTTATAACGTTGTAAGGGTTGTAAATGTATATTTAAGATTTATTATCTCTAATGATATGGTGAAAACATGCTTTATGTGTAAAAGGCCTGTTGAAAATGCTTCTTCAAGATAATATCATAAGTAAGTACAGACACAACCTAATTATCAGAGGCGGTGCATTAGGCAATCACCTTTAATTTGCAATTAAACTTTCTTATTTTCTTATTAAAATTAAGAGCAAGTTAACTCCAGCTAAGTTCGTCTTCATTCGTCTCATAATGATTATAGTAAAGGTTAATTACTTATTATTATTTTAATATAACATCTTTGAAAAGTTTATTGTTATATTTTTTAGGTTTCCTTTTCTTGATATGAAAAAGAAATACATGGTTGCAAAATATAGGAATTCAACAAGTGACCACCTGAATAACTTTTTATGCTAATGAACAATTTTATTACAGACCTCAGGGAAGGAAAATATTAAAGAAAAATGCAATTTCGACGAAGGAAGTATAATAATCAATCCTGTCACTATTTCTACATTATATTCATCTGCTACTAAAATACTAAAACAGCAAGTAAGTAGATAAACTTAATGGGCCCGTTCACTTTCATTTTTGAATGTCAATTATTTATATATTTATAAAGATATTAAACTCTTTTGTCTGGTGGTACTTTTCCCGTTAAGATATTTTTGCTAGAAGTAAGGGAATTCCCATAAAATTCTTTCAGTGACTCATTGCGTCAGAAAACCCCTAATTCCCTTCAGGTCTTGTATCGGTCAATAGTTAAAAGGGCGCGGTTGTCGGATGTATCATTGCACCACCATTCCTCTTCTGCATTTATTAAAGAAATTTACATGATAAAAATATATTATTTTTTAAAAATAATGTGTTTATATTTTCAGATAAAGCTGGAAGCCTTACCTTCTTTAAATTTTAATAAAAACAATTAGTATTACTCAAGCTGAATATTACCAGATCGAAATTTTATTTGAGAAAATGTATCTGGTAAACGTGACAACGTTGTAAGTGCTTCTAAATAGTGTTGTCTACACACACACTTCTAGAAATAAATGCAACGTTGCCACGTTTACCAGATAAATATTGCAAATCAAATTTCTACTTTTTGATTATGGTCTGGTTAATTTTCAGCCTGAGTAATAATTAATTGTTTTAATTTAAAATTAAAAAATAAGCTCCCAGCTTTCAATCTGAAAATATAAGTTCATGATTTTTAGAAAAATAATTGAATTTTGCTATTTAAATTACATATATAAATGCAGAAATGCTATATTAGGGATACTTCCGACAACCTCGCCGTCTTTAAGCATAACCGATACGAGACGTGAACGGAATTAGGGATTTTCTGACGCAATGAGTCACTGAAAGAATTTTATGGGAATTCCCTTACTTCTAGCAAAAATATCTTAACCGGAAAAGTACCACCAGACAAAAGAGTTTAATATCTTTATAAATATATAATTAATTCACATTCAAAAATGAAAGTGAACGGGCCCATTTCCTTTTAAAAAGAATGTTTAAGGAAAAAGGCATAGCCATTTTTTTGTTGACACTTTTTTTTAACTAATCTAAAAGACTAATTTTGTGTATTGTTTAAATGTTCATTTTTTGTACTTAATTTGTTTTAGGTTTAAACAAAATGAACTTCTAAGATATGCATGGAATATCCCAAAAGAGCTAAGGAAGGTTTTTAAAATTCTTAAGAAAACTATTCAGAGCCAAAAACATAAAATAGTCCAAAATATAAATAGGTATAAATATTTAGATATTATGAATGATTTTTTATAATTTTCTTCTAAATCACTACCTAATGAACTATATTATATAGTACACAACTAAACAAGAATATCACATTATTCATGTTTTTTTTAATTTCCTTAAGAAACGTCCCAAAAAAATGTGAATATTTATTATTGGAGTTAACATCGTTATGCTAAAACAATACTAGAACAACTTAAATAATGTGGATTTTGACTATTTTGAGTTATGCAGATCATTATGATCTAAAAAAATGTTTGTCTGGTGCTATAGTCAGGTATAAAAACATTCATTTGTTTAAACACAGTTGCAATATAAATTTTATTTAGTTTTTAAGTTAAAACCTATTAGGACACCCTAAAATTACTTTTTTCGTTTGATGTGAGATTAATTATTCTACATTTTTGTTGGTGAAATAGGATATATTAAGAGATGTCTTACTGTTTTCTCTGATTATCTAAAAAGTTAGAACAATATACAAAGACTGTTATAACAAAAAAGAGATATACCTTTACTTAAACTTACAATTAGTCAGTTCAATTGTACGATAATTTAAAGCAGAAATCCAGAAAACTTTAAAAATGTGGTTAAATGTTTTTTTACTATAACAAAGACATAATTATTAAAAAAACTTGGCACATTAACATTGATGATAGTTTTTTATAATATATATTATACAAATCATAACGAACTACACAAAATGACATTATTAATAATTTAGCAATAAAAAGTTAAGTACAATGATGACATTAAAAGTTGAGTTTTTTGAAATACTTTTTTTTAAATTGCCTCAGTAACTACCTAGTATTTTTCTAGCACAATGATATTATATGAATATGCATTGTGTGATATCTTATATTTTAGGAATAAAATTATATATTTTTTGCAGGTTTCTGTTAACAACGATTCCAAGAACTTTTGAAAATATTATTAAAACGGCCTTTGCAAATATAATTCTTAATTAAGGAGGTCCTTTCGCCACACCTCTCGCCTCAAATGTTAAAAAAAAAGTTATTAGATTATGACTAAAATTAATTTTTTTTTAATAGTTGAAGTCCTTATTAATCTAATACTGAACTTTTAACTATATCTTACCTTGCAAATTTTTGAGAATTTTTTTTTAAATGTGAGTATTTGTACAGTGCCTCACGAGAAAGTAAGTCCTCAACAACAATTCTCGAATTATACTATTAATTTTTGATTAGATGGAGTAGAAAAAAACTAAAAATAAGGTTTTTGAAATATTTAGATTTTGTTTTATACAATAAAATATATGTAGTAAACCGTGAACTTATTGAGAAATTAATATTAAAAAATCACAAAAAATTTTCAAGTAACCTAGTTGAAAATTTTTTTGTGATTTTTTAATAATAATTTCTCAATAAATTCCACGGTAACCTATATATTTTATTGTAAAAAAACAAAACCTAAATATTTCAAAAACCTTATTTTTAGTTTTTTTCTACTCAATCTAATCAATAAATAATAGTAAAATTAATTATAATTCGAAAATTGTTGTTGAAGTCTTACTTTCTCATAAGACACTGTACAAACACACACATTTTTTAAAAAAAAAATTCTCAAAAATTTGCACGGTAAGGTGTAGTTAAAAGTTCACTATTAGATAAATAAGGACATCTACTATTAGAAAAAAATTAATTTTAGTCATAATCTAATATTTTTTAACATTGGTGGCGAAAGGACCTCCTTAAGAGCTTTTGATCTAACATAAAATTGTTATTCTCCATAAGGTTATAGTTTCCTAGGAAGAAAGTTTAACAAGACTTACCAGACTCAAAATATCAAAATTTTACCAACCAATTGATGGTTCTTCTGGTTTCCACAGGAAAATTCTCCTCAAAACTACTAAAATAAAAGTGGCAGAGGCAACCGAAGAAGGCAAAAAAGTCTTTTGCAAAACAAAAACTAGAAATTTGTTTAAGAA